CATCTCTGAAACTGGAGAATGACTGAGGGCAAAATGGGGTCAGAGATAACATCTTCCAAATGTGGAAAGCACATTGGTAAGGTTCTATGTTTAAATAAAAAAAAAATTTTAAACTATAATAAACTAAGGGCAGGACAGATGTGATCTGGGACAGGAGGGAAAAGAATAAAAGTTTGTGTGGAAGAAAGAGGAGATTCGTGGTCGTCACTCGTGAAAAACCCTCCTTTCTCTGCAAAGACACAAGCATGATGATCCGTTGAAGGAGATGATAACCACCTTAGTGGTAACCTCCTTACTAAGTTCAAGGAATGCCACTCTGTAGATTCTCTAGAGGGGACTGGTTTTAAAATACAGATTATCTATTATAAAACTGTTAAAACTGGAAAAGGTGAATCCTGTCTCTGAAGCACTTAATATATGAACTTTCTATCGAAGTCTATCCATAATGTACTCAGTCCTCTGAAGAATAAAAACAATTTTTTCAAAACTGAATTAATATATTTCAAGGTCTTTAAGTATCTGTAGTGGTGAGATTCACTTAGAAGTTTTATCTAGCACCTCATCCCAGGTAGAGAGATTTTTCTCTCCTGCCTTATTTTGGGAGACATTTTATTGAACCTACTTAATTCTAAGTGACACAGTCTAATCACAATTGTCAACAAACTTCTTTATAAGTTGAAAGTCTATATTAGAAAAGTGTAAAATTTAGAGACAGAGGACACAATAATTGCTAACAATTACCCTGAGCAATCACCTAATCCCTTTCGCCTCCATTTCCTTATCTGTAAAAAGGAAAATACCATTATTTCCTTCATTCTATGAAACACAGCCTCAAATTTCAGAAAGTAGGATGCAACTCATTATCAACAAATTGTATTCTTCCTTGAACCCATCTACACTATTTCTAAAGCAATGGTACATCTTACACTCAATAAGGCCTCTAAGCCAAGGAAATACTGCCAATACTCATCTGATACATCTGATGGTGTTGCTGGATAGGTCAAACATGACTGTGAGGTGCAGATCAATTTTAGTAACTAATGTAACATCTGTTTAATACCTTGTGAAACAATACTTAATTTTCAATTTTTTTAAAGCATTTATGCTAAAAAGTTTAAGTGGCATTAATGATTTTTTTTAAACTTTCTCATTTATTTATATTTTTCTGAATTTGGGAGGAATTTTTAAACATCAGGGGGAAATCTATATTTTTATTAAAGCTGGAATGGTTAAGAACAATTTTAAAAGTTCTAGATCCACTGGGCGTTTTAGCTCACATCAGGGACTCAGGAGGTTGAGGCAAAAAGATCATAAGTTCGAAGCCAGCATCAGCATTTTAGTGAGACCTTGTCACAAAATTAAAAATTAAAAGAACTTGGGAGTAGAACTCAGTCTACTGGTCCAATTCCCAGTGGCAAAAAAATAAGTAAATAGAAGTTCGAGATCTTACCTAGAACTATTAAATTAAAAGCATTTAGAAAGCAATAATATGAAAAAATTAAAATATATAAAATTATGATAAACCCTTTAGTATTTTTAAAAATTACAATCTAGTTACATAATCTAGTCACATACTTACCAAAGAGCTACTATAAGAAAACTGATTTTGTACCTCTTATTTTCTGTACAACATGATATGGAAAAATTTCCACAAGAGCCCCAAATTTACAAGCACTAAAATAAAAGCCGTACTTACAGCTGACAATCAAATTTATTTACCATGACATAAAAACTTATTTATAATTTATTTAAATATTCACATCATGCCCTAAGACTGTTGACATGCAACAACACCTAAATCATTGTTCTAGTAAAATTACGATATATAATCAAAATAAATAATTTCTTCTAAAAACTTAATACTCCTCAATATTTGTCTTTTATTCATGTTCATTTTCATTACAAACCAATAAAGAATAGAGATTACTATTATGTTTACTACAGATAAGAAGCGTAAATCAGAGGAAGTAAGTAGAAAGTCACTCTTAGAAATAGCTCTTCTTATTCACTGCTCCATGAGAAGGATCAGCTGTCTGAATGAAGACACAGCTCTTGGGTCTTTCTAGGATTTATTTAAAGGTCATCTGTATTTTGCCAAGAAGCTACTATCCAAGTACATACTGAGAAGCTAAAACACTTTAAGGACATAAGATTTTTCTGAATATATAAACTTAGTGACATTACAAAAAATTTAATTATCAATATTTACTAAATAAAATAAAAAAACCACAGGAGGAGGGACAAGGTTGTTTCTGTGAATAGCTAAGCTAGTAAATTTACTCTTGATTACTTCAATCTATCTTCTATTTTATTTTTTGTGTTTACCTATTCTTTTTTTTGAGACAGGTTCTTGCTATGTTGCCCAGACTGGTCTCAAGTGATCTTCCTACCTTTGCCTCTCAAGTAGTGGGAGGACAGGCATGCACGCAATTCCCTTTTGAAACTCACTCAACACAGACCAAGGCATATATTATTACAGCCTCTCAAAAAACAAAACTTAAAATCTGAAAAATAAAATCTTGTGTAGGGGTATAGCTCAGCTGGTAGAGTACTTGTCTTACCTTACATGTATAAGGCCCAGAGTTCAATCCCTAGCACCACATAAATATAAACAAACAAATAAATAAATAATCTTGCCATCCTACAAACATCACCACCAGATTATCCATGCTCGAGTAGTAATTTAACATAATAAATGTAACACAGTTCTATTTTATTGACAAACAGCTATTTATTTGCATACTAAAATGTAGTCTGACGTCTTTTTTTTCTGGTACTGGGTATTGAAACCAGAGGTGTTCTACCACTGAGTTGCATCTCTAGACCTTTTTTATTTTTTGAGACAGGATCTCACCAAGTTGCTAGGTCTGGCCTCAAACTTGGAATCCTCCTGCCTCAGTTTCCCAAGTAACTAGAACCAGTTGTGAACCACTGTGACCAACTGTATTTCTATCAAACATTTCTTACATGATGTTGAAATAGATTGCTATCTGTATGCTTTTAACAACAAACACATTATCATGAGACCACTTGAGACTTCTGCCCCATCCCCATAAAACATGCCCACAGCAGCAATTCTAACTTACAACATAGGAGAGAAGTATTATCTATGCTTCCCTGAACTTCCATACAAGGCTAAACATATTTTATACAATCTATACATCCTTCCTCCCATACCTCTCATTGCTTCCTTCTTCCATAGCTGTCACAAGGATATCATGTTAAAAACCTTGTTCCCACTGCCACCCTATATTAGATTGTAAGCTCCTAGAGTTCAGGAACATTGTCAAACTGTTCACTTTTCTAATTCCAGGATGTACCACAGACCCTGACTTAGTGACAACATCAGCTAGATTGTTAATTTTCAGTTATTCTAGACTGCCCATTCATAAGAAATAAGAAGGAATTGCCTGAATAAAGGCAAGGTAGAGTTTGAGACTCTTTGGCATCTTTTGTCATCAACAGGTAAATTTTATCACCACAATGAAAGGAGAAGCAGGCAAGACTTCTTTTTCAACCAAGTATTTCATGGTATTTTTAGTTTAATACTCATAAATTTGGCTTTTATAGGATATACTATTAAGTGAATAAATCTAAATCTGAGATCATGTTGAATAACTAACCAAATGACTGAATGTGTTTAGAAAATGTCAGGCCCTGAAGAATCTGCCTTCTGTTTCTCTGTGCATTAACATGAAGAAAGAAATGAAGTAACTAACACCCCACCCCTGACTCACAAAGATACTAAGTAGAGGAGATTATATAAGAGGGTGCTTTACCTTCTATAAAAAAGAGAGATATAAGAACTTAGAAGAGCCAGGCACAGTGGTGCACACCTGAAATTCCAGAAGCCCAAGAGGCTGAGGAAGGAGGATACCAGGCTCAAAGCTAGCTTTAGCAACTCAGTGAGACCCTGTGTCTAAATAAAACACAAAAAAGGGCTGGGGATGTGACTCGGTGGTTTAAATGCCCCTGGGTTCAATTTTAAATGCCCAAAAAAAAAAACCCAAAAAAAAAAAAAAAAAAAAAAGAACTTAGAGGATAGTATTATTCAATATTATTCCTGAATAATAATTTTTTTTCTGAGCTAATTAGAAATTTTCAGTAAGGTTAATTTATAGGTAAGTATAATCCTAGAGTTTTCAAGCTGACTACTATGAAGGCCTTTCTCTATCCTAGTATAAATGTAGATTTAAAGTACAGCTCATTTCTTTGTATTGAATTTGGGTTTAAAGAGTTATAAACCAAGCCAGGCACAGTGGTACATGCCTATACTCCCAGCGGCTCGGGAGGAAGATCACAAGTTCAAAGCCAGCCTTAGCAACTTAGCTAGGCCCTTAGCAACTTAACGAGCCCCTGTCTCAAAATTTAAAAATTAAAATAGAAAGTGCTGAGGATATGGCTCAGTGGTTAAGTTAAGTACCCCTGGATTTAATCCCTGGTACTGAATAAATAAATAAATAAGTTATATATATATTCAATCCTAACAACTTTTTAAAAGATGTCTAGAGGTTAGGGGATGGCATATCACTGATCTACATTTGAAAATACAGTAAAACTTTTCCAGTGTCTTTATAAGTTTTATGAAGAAAAAGACTTCTTCCTGTATCTACTATACTACTTAGTTTTACCCTCAACAGAATGGTATGGATATAATGAAAAGAAGGCTGGATGGGATTCAAAATTGAGTTTAGGGTCTAGATTTCTTATATTTCACTTTTCTCTTCTGTTAGAGGACTGCGTATACCTATTTCACTGTGCTGATAAGCAAAAAAATTAGTTTGACAGATATAAATTAACTTTGAAAAATTAAAAAATATTTATTATGATACTCTCAAAATGAGAAAACCACTGACATTCTAAAAAGTGAGGTTAAAAAAGAAATATGCACATGCTACTTTTATTTCAGGTAAATTGCAAAATAATTTACAAGAGTATTTCAAAATTTTTACCAAAAGTTTGTGTTAAAATACTAAAGTAAAACCTTTACCTTTTCTAAGTCTTCAATTTCAGAACTGAAGTTTTTACCCTCATCCATCATCTCTTCTTCTTCAAGAGTTCTTTCATCATCATAGTCATGGACCAACATCTCAGCAGTGGGGTCAAAATCATGATCCTCAGAAGACAAAGACCCAACTGGAATGAAACAAACTGAATCATTTAACATATTCACAAGGTTATTTAAAAAATAAAAATGTGTTCCTATAAATTTACTAGATATTTTATAGGTTATAAAGTAAGACCATGTGATTCTGAAAAGATACTAAAATCAGGAAAAAAACAAGGAGGAATAATTTACAAACACTTTTACAAGGGGTCCAACTTACAATACCAGTAAAGTGATTTAAATGGCGTGGTCTTAAATAAATATTACAACAGAAAAGCAATGAAACTTGCTTATTACTTAATTTAAGACATTTGTTTAAAAACAAAGGCAAATGTCAGAAGAATTAAATTTCCAGGAATGGAAAACTTCAAGAATCTACTATCCATGAAGTCTAACACTTCAGAAGAGAATGTAAATTTTACCAAATTTTAACCCTCAAATAAAGACACAAAACTCAACAGAAATTTTGCTTACAGGACAAAAATCAAATTTCTGTGAAACAGCTATTCAGAAATTTAGTTTTTAAAAGCACTGTATCATTTACATATGTATAACAGTATTTCAAGCTCCCCAGCATCAGTCAGTCAAGTATTAAACTACAAATCTATGCTTTACTTTAGATTACTAATACAGTTGTTAGGATTATACAAAGAGACCACAGAAAATCATTATCTGAAAGTTTTAGAAGATATAACCCATTACGAGTTGTTTTGGCCAATTCACACTTATTTATAAAATTATAATAATTTTTAATAGCAAATAGGAAGTCAACTGAATATTCCAAAAACAAAAAGAAATGAATAAAATCCATAATCCCAAGAGAATAAAATATGATTTATAAAAAACAGCATAACATCTAATTCAATTAGACCAGCAACTTTCAAGAATATGGAAGGAAAGTAAGATCAGAATTTGGAGAAGAAAAAGTTAATCTACTTTGAGCCAAACTAATATTTTAAAATTTCAAACATTTAAACACAATGTGAGATCATTACCAAAACAGTGAAATAGGCTAAAATTTTTTCACTACGGAAAAACTACAAATAGAATTCAATATTTCTGATTCTGAGTTCAGAAAACTCTATTAGTCCTAAGAAACAATTTCTATGGTACTTAATTCTTTAGAAAGCTTACATTATGATGCTATTTCTTTGCAGTTGAAAATATTATCTGCTCATCTGAAAAACATGATGAAGTAGGTGTGGCTTAACTTAATTTTAAAGACAAAGATGAGCATTTATTAACTAGCTCAATAACAGAACATGCACCCAGTTACAGATTTTCTTTTCTAAGGAATTCCTACAAACTACTATTGCTTTTCAAAGTGTCCTGCATAAAACAGAAGGGCCTGAGGACCTATTCCTGGCTTTGTCCTTGGCTTTCAGGGACCTATTTAAATTTACTGGGTGTAGCTCAAGCTTTTCATTTGTAAAACACATAAGGTTGGCTGAATTAACTTAAGAATTTCTTTTAGTTCCAAATTTCTCTTTAAAAATTGGCAAACTGATTAAAAACAGGTTATAAGTGTCTGTTTAGACATCAACAGCACACTGTGTTTTGCCTTTTTATTTAGATCACAACTTCTAACAAACAGTGATTCAAAATGGAAAATTTCCATTATCATCCAGATGTTTGGCATCATGTACATAAATATTCTTCCCCTGAAATCAGTCATAACAAAGAAATGTTTGTCTCAAAATTAGCAAAACTTTTGAAAACAATTTTTAATGTATAGATAGCTATTTTTAAAGTAATCACAAATTCCTTCAATTTAGTGTTAATTATAATACCCAAGTAAGACCTTTGACTTAATACAAAAAGTAATATTGCAAAAACAATGAATTGTTCATTCTATGGCAATATGCAATGAAAAACTTGGGGGCTCATACACACTCCACTAAGTTATGATTCTTTAGCAGCATGATTTAAAAGTCTCTAGGTGAACTAAGGGAAGTGGACAGATCCAGAGGTGCTTTCCCTGGACCCTATGACAGGAGAAAGTGGCAGTTAAAGAGGGGAACTGGAAAGAGGATGAGAAGTTGAAACCTTATATCTTAGCACAGGAGGAAAGTTCCCCGACATGGATCAGCTTCAGGGATCCCACAAGCCCCCACTCTGTGTATAACTATGCCTATCTAGAGCATTCAGGGAGAGTCCCCTATTTTTATCAAATCCCAACAAGAACTTCTAACCTCAAAAAGATCAAGAAACACTTCCAGAAGCTCTAATGTTGTCTCAGCTCAAAAATCTTCTATCACCCCCTCTTCTGTGGCAAATTTGGAATATATGTGTGTTTTAAAGATAGCTTTAACTCTCAGTTTTCACACAAACTATAGACATTTCTCAATTATGAAAAGGAGACTTAGAGGAGATGGGGAGTTCCAGTTACCAATCAACCTAAGCAGCCACCAAATTCAGAAAAAGTAGAGATCAATTTCTCGAACAAACAGAAACTAAAATCCAAACTGCAAAAGTTGGTGAAAAGTTGATTTGGTACTCACTGGTTTGGACTTGGAGGAAAACATATATGTGAAAATTAAAGACACTATTTAAAAGCTCACTTGTCTATCAGCAGCTTTGTAACAAGGTGTATTTTTCAACATGCAAGGGGGAAAAAAAGAGTATAACTGTTCCTTTCTCCAACAATTTAATTACCAAATGCACACTGAAATCCTTAATTTAATTATCAAATGCACATTGAAATTCTTAACGATGAAAAACTACAGTATAATTTTCCAAGCAGAATTCTTTACCAACATGCCTTCAAGACCCCATTAACCTCTGGGACCCACTGAAGAAGTAAAAAATAGGACAAACCTGGGCTCGAACTTCCAAAAGAAGCCTAGGAGAGAAAGAGAAGAAAACGTGAGGTTAGACAGCATAGCCAGGAAAAGAGGCAGCTCCCGCAACAGGGCGCAGAGGGGGCGGAGCCGAGCGCTCCACCGCAGCTGCCAAAAAGTGCAAGACGTAGCTTCGCTCGGATCGCTCCCGGCCCCTTTCGGGCCCCCTCTTGGCTGCCTCGCCTTCCTCCTCGAGTCCCCAGTGTACAAACTCGCAGAGCCGGGACGAAACCCAGAATCTAACAGGCAACTGAAAGCGGCTTTCTAAAGCTCAGCAAGTTTCAGAACGAAGAAGCAAAACCCAGAGAGTGGGCTCACGGCGTCAATCCCCCATCCCTGGCAAATTGGGAGTCCCCCAATTCCCACCCAGCTCTCCACGGCCCCAGGCAACTCCTCGAAACGCAACCCTTTCCTGGAAGGGACTCGCCTTCTAAGAGTGTGTCTGCCCCTGAGGGCCCGGGAGCCCCAACTCAGGGGCTGTCCTCTGCCGGGAGCATAGGCCGGCTCGAACCGGACACCCGTCCCCAAACCAAAGCAGGAGCTCCCCATCCTCTTCCGAATCCTGAGTTGCGGCCTCTCAGTCCGGGGGATACTGGTTCCTTCCAGGGTGTTCAGTCTCTCTCAGGGCCCGCCAGCTCGCCCCCCCGGCCCAGCCAGCTCCTGCAGAGGGGCTCCTATCGCCGCCGCCCCCTCCCCCCAGCTCACTAGTCCCGGGGGAGATAGCCCAGGCAGTTTCGATTGCCCAGCATTCCCCCTCTACCCAGAAAAAGGGACTATCTAGCCGCTCTCCTGGGGAGGGCGTCAAGGGTCCAGGTCTGCCCCCTTCACCCCTGGGGCGCTCGCACCTCCCCGGCTGCGGGGCGGGGAGTCCCGCTCTTCGCCCGTGAAGCCCGGCGGCCGCGCATCCCGCTCCTCTCCGCACCCGGAGCAAAGTGGAGCGAGCGGCTCCTTCGCGCCGCAGCCCGGGTCTGTGGGCTGGGGGC